CCATGCTCAGTAAAAGAAGCCAGTCACAAAAGACCACATATTATATCATTCCATTTACATTAAATTTCCAGAATAGCTAAATCTATGGACAGAAAACATAAAATAATTGGTTTCCAGGGACTAGGAGAAAAGGAGAATGGAGAGTGACTGCTTAATGGACATAGGGTTTCCTTTTGGGATGTTTAAAATGTTTAGGAACTAGATAGTGATGATAATTGCATAATATTGTGAATGCACTATAGCAGGGGTTTCTAACCCCTAGGCCATGGACTGACTCCTGTCCATGGCTTATTAGGAACCAGGCCACACAGCAGGAGGTGAGAGGCAGGTGAGTGAGCAAAGCTTCATGCCTATTTACAGCTGCTCCCCATGGCTCACATTACCACCTGAGCTCCACCTCCTGTCAGATCAGTGGTGGTATTAGATTCTCATAGGAGAGCAAACCCTACTGTGAACTGAGCATGTGAGGGATCTAGGTTGCATGCTCCTTATGAGAATCTAAGGCCTGATGATCTGTCACTGTCTCCCATCACCCCCGGATGGGACTGTCTTGTAGGAAAACAAGCTCAGTGCTCCCACCTATTCCACATTATGGTGAGTTGTAGAATTATTTCCTTATATATTACAATGGAATAATAATAGAAATAAAGTGCACAATAAATGTAACATACTCGAATTATCCTGGAACCAACCTCCTCAACCCCACCACTACCGTCCTTGGAACAATTGTCTTCCACTAAACCAGTCCCTGGTGCCAAAAAGGTTGGGGACCACTGCACTAAATGCCACTGAATCATACTTCAAAATGGTTAAAATAGTCCATTTTATGTTATATGAGTTTTACCCCAAAATAGAAAGTGAAACTCATGGAATTACTAAACTTCAGACACATTTTATTTAAACGAGTAGTATTTCTTTTTAAAAGATTATTTCGGCCAGGTGCGGTCACTCACGCCTGTAATCCTAGCACTTTGGGAGGCCGAGGCGGGCAGATCACGAGGTCAGGAGTTCAAGACCAGCCTGACCCATATGATGAAACCCCGTCTCTACTAAAAATACAAAAATTAGCCGGGCGTGGTGGTGCATGCGTATAGTCCCAACTGCTTGGGAGGCTGAGGCAGGAGAATAGCTTGAACTCGGGAGGTGGAAGTTGCAGTGAGCTGAGATCACGCCACTGCACTCCAGCCTGGGCAATAGAGCAAGACTCAATCTCCCCCTAAAAAAGATTATTTCAGAGTAAAAGAAAAAAAAAAAAGAAAAACCAGGAGATGAAAAGCACAATGCGCCTTGGTCTTTTAGGAGTTTAACTAGGTTAACCTCATATTCCTTAATGGCTTTAAGTTTAAACGTCAAGGCAATAAAACATTCAGTGGTCCTTTTAAACATAAAAATCAGAAGACATTCTTTCTAAATCAGACAAATCCCCCTTTTGGGTATAAAACCAAAAATGCTTAGAGTAAAAAAAAAGGAAAAAAAATTCAGTACTAAGCCTTTTTGTCTATCGCCTCTCTCTTCTTCCAGTCTTAAACACAAAGTAGCCTTTAGGAATTTCTTTTAATTTCTCAGAATTTTTATATATAGCAAATCATTTATTAATACATATAGATGTGTGCCAATTAAAATATTTTAAATAATGAAAGAATAACACTCATACTTATGCCTATCTTTACAATGATTATGCCTGAGAAATAAATGAGGAAAGACTGATCATAAACAATTATCTTATAATAATTTAGTCTTATCTAATATCATTAGATAAGATATTATAATATTATTAGATAAAACATTAATAATTATATTATCAGATAAGATAATATTAATAATCAATCATGTCTAATAATTTTCAAAATAAAAACCCATGGGTAAAATACTCTGCCTTATAATAAAAATACAATATGACATAATAATAAAAACAAAGCAAAACCTACCTTCATGTGTTGGTTCTTGGTTCTTTCCTCTAGTTCCTTACCAGAGGAGTAGTGGATTTGGTAATTTAAGAAGTGTCAAATCTTCCCTTCAGCAACCACACGCCTGTCCAGGGAGTCAGCTCACAAATCACGTGTCAATTATCAGGAGAGATGGTAGACCCTGTGCAAGAGCTCTGTATGAGTTTCCTGTGGCTGCTAAAACAAATACCAAAAACACTGGTTGAAAACAATGCACATTTATTCACGTGCAGTTCTAGAAATCAGAAGTCCTAAATGAGTCTCCTGGGGCTGAAATGAAAGTGTCAGCCAGGTTGGTTCCTTCTGGAGGATGCAGGAAAGAATCCATTTCCTTGCAGTTTGTACCTCCTAGAGGCTGCCTGCATTCCTTGGAATGTGGTTTCTTCCTTCATCTTCAAAACCAGCAACAACCAGCAGAGACCGTTTCACATCTCATCATTCTAACCTCCATTTCTGCCTCCCTCTTCTACTTTTAAGAGCCCTTGCAATTACATGGGGTCCACTTGGATAACCCAGAATAATCTCCTCATTTTAGGATCAGCTGATGAGCAAACTTCATTTTCCCTCCAACTTTGATTCCCCTATTGACATATAAGGTAACGTTTTCATAGGCTCTGGGAAAGAGGATGTAAAAATATTTAGTTAAGGATCTTGGGATGAGATCATCCTGGAATCGACCCTAAATGCAATGACAGGTGTCCTTCTAAGAGACAGAAGAGGAGATGGTGCAGACACAAAGGAGAAGGCCGCGTGGAGACAGAGGCAGAGACTGGAGTGATGCGGCCACAAGCTCAGGAATGCCTGGAGCCCCCAGGAGCTGGGAGAGGGAGGAAGGATCCTCCCTTAGAGCCTCCAGAGAGGGTGCAGCCCTGCCCACACCTTGACCTCAGTCTTCTGGCCTCCAGAACTGGGAGAGCATACATTTCTGTTGTCCTAAGACACTCAGTGGCGGTTTGTGTGGCAGTCCTGGGAAATGCATACAGATTGTGCCCACGTTTGAAGGTTAATTAAGAATAATTACCAAACCACACAGTTTCTGTTTAAGCTAAGTACTATTTTGCCTTTTTCTTTGTAATGTATTCAGGGCAACATTTACAAGCTGAATTTTCTCATCCAGGCTTTCTAACGGCTTTGAGTTATTTGTTTCTTTTACTTTATTCATAAGAGTTATATTTATATCTTTAAAGTGCATGTTCCAAAGTGTTTTGATACTTCTTTAAAATACATTAGTGCTCCTTTGAATTTAGTCTGAGTTTTAGTGAATCTCTAAGCTTGTCCACTTACAACACACACCTGTATTTAAAATCGAGTAAATCTCAGTATGTTTCAATCTCATGATTAGGCACACGTGAAGGTCACTGTGTATGAGAACTAATTTCCTCTTCTGTATTTTAAGAATAACTTCAAGCTTGCTCCGTGAGTCCCCCTCGGTCTGTTAACTAAGGCCGCTTCTTCTAATTCATGAAAGAGACTTCTTACCAAAACGGAAGGCACTTCACGCGGTGTCCTATAGAATTCTGAGTGTTCATTATTTATAGGACATCTTTCTGAATTAATAGTTTCATGCTGAAGGAGAGACCATTTGCCATTTTTATTTCGAAAAGTGAGATGGGTCTTGGAATCCATCCACATGTAAGAAGAATGTCACAGGACAGGGGTTTGCAACCCCATAGGCCATAGACTGCTACCAGCCTGTTAGAAACCAGGTTGCACAGCAGGAGGCGAGCAGCAGGCCAGTGAGCGAGGCTTCGTCTGTGTTTACAGCTGCTTCCCATCCTGAGCTCCACCTCCTGTCAGATCAGCAGCAGCATCAGATTCTTACTGGAGCAGAAACCCTATTGTGAACTGCACATATGAAGGATCTAGGTTGCAGGCTCCTTATGAGAATCTAATGCCTGATGATTTGTCACTGTCTATCCCATCACCCCCAGATGGGACTGTCTAGCTGCAGCAGAACAAGCACAGGGCTCCCATGGATTTTACGTGATAGTGAGTTGTAGAATTATTTCATTGTATATTACAGTGGAATAATAATATAAATAAAGTGCACAATAAATGTAATGTGCTTGAACCATCCCAAAACCATATGTCCCACCCCCATCCTGCTCCACAGAAAAGCTGTCTTCCATGAAATTGGTCCCGGTGCCAAAAACATTAGGGACCGCTGCCCTAGGAGATTTCTAGACCATGCCACTCGAGGGCAAGGTCTCCACCAGCCATTAGTGCTCAGACTAGTTTCAGTGACATTCTTTCCTTCTTCCTCACAAGCTTCTAGGGCAGCTTCCATGTGGAATCCCCTAGAAGCCATTTGGTTTGTATTCCAAAAGGCAGCTTGTCTGAAAGAAGACGAATCAGCAAAAACGTAAGCCAAAACAGAACACGGGAAAGAAAGAGTCTCAACTCTTTAAATATAGACTTTTAAAAACTAGACTTTATTTTTAGAGCAGTCTGAGCTGCAAAATTGAGCAGAAGGCACAGAAATTTTTATATATCCCTTTCCTACACACACACCCGCTCTTCCATGATCAATATCTCTCAGCAGGGTGAGACGTCTGTTACAACAGATGAACCCACACAGAGACACCAAAGTCACCCAAAGTCCGTAGTTTTCATTAGGGCTCCCTCTTGGTGTGAACTCCAGAATTGTGAGTGTTCATCATTTATAGAACATCTTTCTGAAATGAATAGTTTCACGTTGGAAAAGAGACCCTGTGCCATTTTTATTTTGAAAAGTGAGATGGGCCGAGTGTGGTGGTTCACGCCTGTAATCCCAGCACTTTGGGAGGGCAAGACAGATGGATGACCTGAGGTCAGGAATTCGAGACCAGCCTGGCCAACATGGTGAAACCCCGTCTCTACTAAAAATACAAAAATTAGCCAGGCATGGTGGTGCATACCTGCAGTCCCAGCTACTTGGGAGTCTGAGGCAGGAGAAACGTCTGAACCCAGGAGGTGGAGGTTGCAGTGTGCCAAGATTCCATCACTGCACTCCAGCCTGGACAACAGAGTAAGACTTCATCTCAAAAAAAAAAAAAAAAAAAAAAAAAAGTGAGCTAGGTCTTGATTTCTGCTGAATTACCCATCTAGGATTGAGGTCTTTGAAGGGATTCATTAATAATTGCTGACATTTCCTTGCCTTTCCCTGTCTGCAATTCACTGGCCTGTGTGGTCTGGGTTGGGGAGGAATGGGACAACCTTCTGTGATCTCATCTTCTGCAGCTGGTTTTCTACCAATTGAAATTTTAGGGATCCAGAGCGGAGAAGCTTGTGTCTGTGAGTTCCATGTTCTAGGTGCTGCTGGTCACGGTAAGAGACAGTAGTAGATAAACAGCTTTCATTTTGCCCAGATATCCCCATCGGCACGTCCGCCCAAGCTGGGTCAGGCAAGTTCACTTCTCCACGACGTGTTTTCTCTGTAGGCTGATGTGCACCATGCTAAGCAGAATTTTCTCCAGCCTAATTTGCAGAGATAACTCAACTGTGTTCAGGAGATCTAGAGGGTTTCTCTGACATGTTCTTTGTATTTATTTACTTATTTTCCACGCTGCTGTTCTATTTTAAAGTATGCTGTTGAGAAAATCTGGGAACATTTTAGTACATGCAACAGAACAGGGTATTCCTCCTGGCTGTGCTAAGAGGATAAGAAGGAAAACAAAAATACCCCCTCCTTTTCATCGAGGTGGCCAGTAGCCCGTATTTTCATTTAAGGTTTACCCTAGACGGATGAGGGCAAGTTCCCATGGAAAATTCCTGAAAGTCTGTTTCTGCTCAAATAAAGATACAACCCCACTAGCTATTAGTCTGCCCCCGGGATTTCTGAGCTATGCAAGCCCATGAGTTTGAAGTAGAGATTTCCTGTGTAGACTATTTTTTTTCCCTCCAGTCATCCAAGGGTATTCACTAGGTCAGCCCTTCTCCTGATTACAGAGTTTGGGAAGCAGTGGGGTTTGCAGGCATGTGACTAAGAAAGTTACTTTTACAACCCCTGTTAAGAAAATTACATAGTGATCCACAGAGTCCTTTAGAATATTAGATTTTCACATTGAAATCAGAATCGCCAGGAACTGCAGTTCATACACAAAACAGCCAGTGCACCTCCAGAGACTGCATTGGGGTAAAACCTGGATAGGAAGATGAAAGACACAGCAATAAAGTTGAAAAAATGACTGTAGGTTCACTGGATCCTATATATAAATATTAACTACAGATGTGGTGCAGGTAGTATGTTCAGTTCTCTCTATACAGCATTGCATTCTGTCTTTACGACACCTCCAAGAGGTAAAATTACCCTTATTGTACCCCTGAGAAATCTAGTTTTAGGAAGGGAGAATAGTGTGTTCTAGGCCCTCTGGCCAAGAAATAGCGAGTAGTAGGAGGAGGTGGTTTGAGCTCTACTATCTGTCTGACTTAACCACCTATGGTTCTGCTGTTGGTTAAAGCCTTGCAAGAAAAGTGGATTTTAAAGATCTTATGACGGAGGCAGAGGGATGATGGCTTCCCCAGGGTAAGGGCCTCCTGGGTCTCCTGGGCTGCAAGTTTCCCTATCTCCACATTTCTAGAGGAGAGAGGGCCTCTGTGGAGGGTCAGGGTTGGGTAATGGGAAGTGAACTAGCAAACCTGTTTGGATTTCCTTCTGAATGCATGAGTCTAGCGGGTTGAATTTAAAGGGCAGGCACTTCTCAATCATGTCTTTTCCACACATCGCTTTTTAAAACTGGCATGCCACCAGCCTGCTTCAGGGGCATCTCAGCAAACAGGATTGGTTACACAAGGAAATGGTACCATTAGGCTTGTCAAAAAAAAAAGCTTTTTTTTTTTTTTATACTCACAGATGTCTTTTGTAGATCAAAGACAAAACAGGCAAACGCTGATGATAAGGACACGTTGTCAAAATGCTGGCTCAGGAAGAGAAATGCTGCTAACCAGAGGAACAGTGAAAAGCAGTGGCTGGTAAAAGTCACTTTCACTGGTGCATCCTGCAACAAACTGCAATCCATCAGGTTCCATGGCATTTGGCGATTAGGAAGGCTCTGACCTTTTGTTAATCACTGAGCTCAGTATCATTCTTTTGCTTGAAGTACATTCTGTAGCTACAAGGACTGACCTGCCCGTCATTTGATCATCCCTCCTCATCCTCCACATGGTGGAATTATTAGCAAACAGATGAATTTAATTTAGCCAACATGTACTCCAAACCTCCTGTATTTAAGGAACTCTCTTGGCACTTCAAGGGATTCGACAATTAATAAAACATGGTCCCTGCTCTAGGAACACATAACCAAGCAAGCAGGCAACATTAGCAGGACAAACATCAAAACAAAAAAAGACTAAATGCAGCAAAATATGCATTTTATTTTAAGAAAGGACGGAATGACGAGATTCCATAATGCTTTATTTGTGGATTTATTGTGCAAGTTATGCCCTGGGACTTTTCTAGTCTAGGCATTTATTTTTATTAGTATGTGTGTTATTAAAAAATAATTTATTGAGATGAAATTCACATCATAAAGTAAACCATGCTAAAGTAACAATGTAATGGCATTTTGTACATCTTTAATGTTGTGCAACCATCACCAACATGTAGTTCCGAAATATTTCTGTCACCCCAAGCTAAAACCCTGCACCCATTCAGCCATCTCTTTCCACTGCTTACTCCCCCTCATCCCATGCATGAAATTTTCAAAGCAGAATTTAATTAGTTGACTTGGCATTTTATTTACTTCACACTTGTAAGGAATTAAAACCGCTATGTTTGAGTTAACCATCTCATTTCCATAAACCTACGCCTTTAACTAGACTTCGATAAACCACTTTTGGGGTGCAGATTGTACAGGTAGCACAAGTATTTAGAGGTATTAATAGATACTATCTATTAAATGTGCCAATAATAATCCCCCTGGATAAGGTAGTATAAACAGATTTCCTTACTGCAGGGAAATTCGGACTTTTTTTTTTTTTTTTTAAGGCAGGGTCTTACTCTGTCACCCTGACTGGAATGCGATGGTGTGAACTTGGCTCACTGCAAACTCTGCCTCTCAGGCTCAAGCAATTCTCCCTTGTCAGCCCCCAGTATGTAGCTGGAACTACAGGCATATGCCGCCATGCCTGGCTATTTTTTTTTTTTTTTTTTGTAGAGATAGAGCTTTGCCATGTTGCCTAGGCTGGTCTCAAACTCCTGGACTCAAGCAATCCTCCCACCTTGGCCTCCCAAAGTGCTGGGATTACAGGCGTGAGCCACTGTGCCTGGCCAAATCTAGACATTTCTTAATAGAATTCAACCTCAGTCATGCACACATTCATTCATTCCATTGAACACCTAGTGTATGCCAAGCTCTGTGCTATACTCCAGGTGTCAAGAAGCTATGATGGCATAAAAAGAAGGTGAGTGATTGTCCACAATGCAGGAAAAAGCCCACATTAGCAATGGGCACGGAGGTAAGGAAATACCATACAATGGAGACTGAGGAGAACTTTGTCAAAACAGTGGCATGAACCGACAACAAAAATCAGGGATGTGCTACCTGATCTTGACGAGCCAGTCCTATCACCAAAAGGAAGATCCCAGGGACAGGCAGGCTGGGAAGCACAGGGCATGGCACCGGCCACCCATGGAAAACTTCAGCCTTGGGTGTGAGGATGATGGCACCCCTCTAAGTTTCAGTGATGGCCTGGAAGGGATGAATGAGAAGGAGTTGGTGGAGGAAGAAGTTGTCAAAATCTAAGACATATCTATGCAACTGCAGTGAGAGAGGTGGAGAGAAGAGCATGTTGGGCCCAGAGATTCTTAGGCATCAGGATCTAAACTTGGCAACCAGTTGACTGTGACGAAGACATGAAAGAGAGGCAGAAGGCAACGATGGCTTGAGTTTCTAGTTTAGCTGATGAGATGGGTGGCAACATCATTAACAGAGGTAAAGACGTGTTCAAGAGACAGTTGTTTTCTGTTTTGTTTTGTAATTTAATCAGTGGATTTGGGGCATGCCCAGAAAGAGGCTACCTAAGGGTATTATTTGACTATTCCCTGGAACTATGTCAACACACACTGAAAACGAAAGCTAGAGAATGAATGAATTCCCATTTATGAACCAGTGTTTCCTGACTCTCAACTCTGTCTGACTCTCAACTCTGTGGAAGCCACCCTAGGCATGGGAGGCAGGTGGTGAGGAATTCCCAGACCTTGTGTTTCTTTGGAGGAGCTAAGATGGTCCAGGCTCCATGCAGGGGAAGCAACTTATTTCTTAGGCTTAGTCCTTCCTTCCTCCTGAAAGACCCCCGACAGAGTGCTAGATGTAGGGCAGGACTTCTGAACCTAAAGAGCAGACACTTCTCAATTATACTTTTTCCATGCATTGCCTTCAAAAAACTGCATGCCTGCTGGGCTCGGTGGCTCACGCCTGTAATCCCAGCACTTTGGGAGGCGGAGGTGGGTGGATCACTTGAGGCTAGAAATTCGAGTCCAACCTGAGCGACGCAGTGAGACCCTGTCTGTACAAAAAAAAAAAAAAAAGTACAAAAATTAGCCCAGCGTGGTGGCGTAAGCCTCCAGTCCCAGCTACATGGGGGGACTGACGTAGGAGAATCGCTTGCACCTCGAAGGCAGAAGTTACAGTGAGCCGAGATCACACCACTGGCACTCCAGCCTGGGCAACAGAGCGAGACTCCGTCTCAAATAAATAAATAAATAAATAAATAAATAAATAAATAAATACCGCATGCTATCAGCCTGCTTCAGGGGCATCTCAGCAGACAGGATGTGTTGTACAAGTACACGGTACCACTGGGCTTGTAAAAAAAAAATAACTTTTTTTTTTTTTTTATGCTCACAGATGTCTTTTGTAGATCAAAGAACACAAGAGGTAAACACTCACCCTAAGGACGTGTTGTCAAAATGCTGGTTCAGGGAGAGGAATGCGGCTAACCGGAGGAACAAGGAAAAGCAGTCGCTGGTGCACCCTGCGACAAGCTGGTGCAATGGTGCCTTTCTGGGCCCTGCACGCCTGTCTGAGCTCCATGTTTTTACCCCAGGTGGGCTCTGCTGACTGAAGATCCTCGCCTGACCTCTCCCCACCATTCCAGGTCTGACTTATCCAGGAAGCCAGACAACCGCCTCCTCCTCCTCCTCTGCCTCCTGGAATAGGGACCTACCCTCTGCACCCTCTACTTTTTGCCTTGTCGCCAGGTCGCTCCCCCCATCCCTCCGCCCCCTCCCCGGACAATACCATCAGACTCTCCGAACGTCCCAGCCCTCGCCCTGCCCCTCGAAGGCTCCCCACGCCGGAAGGGAGCCGTTCCACCTTTCAGCTAGAAGACTGGCAGGGGGAGGGAGGCGGGCGCCGGGGAGTCCCGGAGAGGCGGGAGGGCGTGGCGGCGGCTCTCACGTTGCAGCCCTGCCTGCAGCTAGCTGGATGCCGGCGGGGCCAGCCCGCTCCTGCCTGCACACGGGCCGGGAAGAGCTGCCAGAGAAAACGCCGTCTGGCCGGGAGAAGCGCAAACCCTGCTCCTTCTCTCTCTCCTGAAAGGAACGGAAACGTTCCCAGCGCTGCTTAGGCGCTCTCCAAGCGCGGACTCAACTGCGGCTCTCACCGCGCTCCCTGCATCTCACCCTTCTCTCCTGGGTCTCCAGACTTCTCTCTGACAAAGAGCCCTCCTTCCCCGAGCCGCCTGCGGTTCTTGCAGCGGGAGTGGGCGAGGCATGCCCACCCGGGCCCAGGCGCAATGAAGACGCAAGAAGAAGGCTGAGCGCAGAGCGGCGCGGCCAGGGTCCCTTGGCTCGGGCCCGCGCCCCGTCTCCCCGGGGTGGGGCAGGGTGGGGGTGTGCCGAGGCGTGGACTTGGGGAAGCCTTGCAGTGCCGGGAATAAAAGGGCGCCGGCTCGCTGTGCCGCGCTGGGAAGCCGAGCTGCCTCACCCCTGGCCCCGGGAAGGGCATGACCCCGGCAGACTCCCGGCCGTGACTCGCGCGCCCCAGCTCGGTGGATGCTCTCGGCGCACCGCTCCCGTGTGCGGCGGCTTCTCAAGGACAGGTGAGGACCCAGGGTGGCCAGGGCGCCCCAGGGCTGCCGTTTCTGCCCGCAGGGGCTGAAGGGATTTGAGACACCCAAGGGAAAACTGGGGGTAAAGGACCTGCATGCAGGTAGGTTGCACCGTTCCCCAGCACTGTTTGAAGTTGCTAAGAAATCAGGATACCTGAATTCCTGCAAATTTAAGTAACTAAAGATCAGTTAGGGAGGAGAGCCGGATCTTGAAGGAGGATGCACTGAATAGGTCTAATTAAGCCCAGACATCCCATGCCTCCTTTCCTCCCTCTCCCCAACGCGCTCCCCATCCCTCGCTCTCTCTGGAGACTTTCAACCCGGCCATCCCGCGTTTCTGGGAAGCTGCCAACGGAATTCCTAAGTGAAGCCCACTCTGCTCTTGCAATCGGTGGGGGAAAGGGCACTTGAGGAGCCTCTTTCCAAGTTGCTCAGGCTGTGGCTACTTCAAGTCTCCTCTCCCTCTTCTCTTCCCCCACTCCTTCCCCGCCTCTTTCCTCCTACCCTTACCCAGGCTTTCCCTGGAAAGGGGACAACCCAACGCCTAGAGTGAGCTGAACCATGCAAAAAAACCGGGACAGTCATCACGCAGATAGAAGGGGTTTGATGTCCGAGTCCCGGGTGGCGGGGACTCGCAGGGCCACCCCAGCCGCATTCCGGGAAAGCGCGTAATTCACCCCGCAGCCAGCTCGACGCGACTCAGCGGACTCTGGAAGCTGGCCAGGGGCTCAGGGCTGCCCGCCCGGCCACTCCAGGTTGTCCGCCCCGGGCCAAAAAGAAAGTAGACGGCCTCACGCCCCCACCCCTGCTTCCCGACGGGATTCGCAGACCGTCTCTGGCGGCCTAACTGGCGCGTGGCCGCTTTCTCCCCGGCGGAGAGACCCGACCCCGCGTCCCTGGGATTAGGGTTGTCTGGGGGCGAGTTTCCTGGGTCTCCCGAGAGGTTGGTGCCGGGGAGGGGGCGGAGGGAGGCCGGACAGGGAGTTGGGGCTGAAGAGTCCTCTGGAACGCCCGGGCCAAGTCCGCCCGCCGGCACAGGACGCTGGGGACTGGCGCGGCTGCCCTTGGAACCAGCCCACCGCCGAGGTCAGGCGCGCAGGCAGGGGCGGGGAAAGCCCGGGCTCTGGCGAGAGAGGAAACTCCGAGGACTTTTGCAGAGCTGCAGGAGCCGGTTTGTTCCAGCGCTCAGAGGCGGAGCCCGGAGTTGTTTTTTTGCAAAGCTACCTGTGTGCAATCAGTTCTTTATGGGCAGCTGAAGGGAGACGCGCCCCCGGGCTTAAGAGGATAACCTTTTCTAGGCCACTTAAAGGCAGGGAAAGCTGCAGGTTTGGGATGCTCCTCTCTTATAGGAAGGGTTTTAGATTTTTATTTTTATTTTTCGAGACGGAGTTTCGCTCTTGTTGCCCAGGCTGGGGTGCAATGGCTCGATCTCGGTTCACCGTAACCTTCGCCTCCCGGCTTCAAGCGAATCTCCTGCCTCAGCTTCCCGGGCAGCTGAGATTTCAGGCATGCGCCACCACGCCCGGCTGATTTTGTTTTGTTTGTTTGTATTATTTTTTTAGTAGAGACGGGGTTTCTTCATGTTGGTCAGACTGGTCTCGAACGCCCGACCTCAGGTGATCCGCCCGCCTTGGCCTCCGAAAGTGCTGAATGACAGACGTGAGCCACTAAGCCTGGCCTGGATTTTAGAATTTTTAATCAGCAGTTCGCGCTCGTTCAGAACCCGGGCGAATGGGCAGGCGCGTGTTTGTTGTGTATCCCTATTTACTTTCCATGTGTGCCACTATTTTTAAGTGAACGCCATTTAAGAGATGACAAAAGGTTAGATGACATAGGCATTGCCAGGGCACGAAGAAAATGATCACCGCCATTCTAAATGAAGTAGCTGATGCAATCTAGCATTTACCCGAGCTTTTCCATTTTTTAGTGACTCCATTTTTTTTTCTGTTTGCCTGAATATATTTCATAAGCAGTCCCTTCCTGTTTATTGAATGATCAGAGGTTCCCCCAAACTTCCTCCCCAATTAACAGCAACTCTAAATCATCACAAAAACTCGCTGGCTTTTCCAAGAAAAATAAATAAATAAATAAATAAATAAAATAAAATAAAGATAGTAAATAAACCCAGAAATAACAGGATGAATATCCTCCTAGCAAATACCTCTTTAAGCTCTTCAAGAAGCTAGAATTAAAGGTTTGAGAAATATCATTAAAGGAAAGAATACGAATACACTTTTCTTGGGATGTTTTAAATTCAAATATATGCAATATATAATAGCTCAGTCGTTGTTGGAGGCAGAAACATAATATTTTATTGTTTCTTTTATTATAGAAACATAAATATAAACCTCTCTTTTTCTTGTTTCTCTCTCTCGCTCTCTCCTCTCTCTATTTCATACCCACAATTACAGAGTGCAAGATAGATTTCCAAATCATAGTATCCAAGCCAAGAATCAGGACTATATTCTATAGTCATGATTAAAGTGAATGGTGAAAAGTTTAGAAAAAAACATGTTTCATCCTTCTCAATTCCCATGGTTTAAGCATCACTACAACACATCGTGTGAAGTCCTGGGAAGCTTGAAACCCTGATGCACAATTCAAATTTAAAAATTGCCCACAGGAAATCGGTGCTACCTGTGAATAAGCGCATCTCTTTTCCTTGTTCTACCTCAGGTATCCGAGAATCAGGCACCCCGACAAGATGCCCAAGCGCGCGCACTGGGGGGCCCTCTCCGTGGTGCTGATCCTGCTTTGGGGCCATCCGCGAATGGCGCTGGCCTGCCCGCATCCTTGTGCCTGCTACGTCCCCAGCGAGGTCCACTGCACGTTCCGATCCCTGGCTTCCGTGCCTGCTGGCATTGCTAAACACGTGGAAAGAATCAATTTGGGGTTTGTACCACCTTCTTCCCGAACCATTCCACTGTTAGTGCGTGCGTCTTGATCTGGTTTTGCATGTTTGTATGTGCATTTACTTAACTTCATATGTGCATTTCCTCTGTGTAGCTCTGTCGAGAATTATGGAGCTGCAGATGGGCAGAATAGAGAGGAAACCTTTTAGTTATGCTAAACGCAGCTTTTTCGATGATTATCTGAATATATCCATCAGCTGCCACTGCTGTGAGGTCTATCAACGAGCAGCATGAACAACTTTAGAGTTTGTTGAAAAATTCCCTTGATACCATTTCTTTAATACATTGTTAAGGTGAATGAATGAGACACACACTTAAACATATGAAGATGATTTAAACAGACTTCAGCAACGATTTAAGAATAATAAAAATAAGTAGAACATCTGTGCCATTTTATAAGTCATGTAGATGATAGAATTGTGACTTTGAGGCAGTAAAAGAATTCCTGCAGATTTTGGCTATTAAAAATATCAACATCTTTTTTAAAACATATTTTGATGTGGGGTGCCAGGTAAAATTTTAATGTATTGGTTTCATTTTATACACACGAATGTTTCGTGGACCTAACTGTTAGTCGCTATGATCTACAGGTACTCAACTGCAATTTTAATAGTCAACAATCATTTGGAGTTCTTCAACAAAATGTATTAGCTACTTTCTAGCGTCTATCCCCAGAACAACCAATTAAATTAGTGTTTGAGAAATATCCACCATGGAGATGTTTTAATAAAAATAAAATGGTCAGATTTGAGCCAATGCAAAATAACTGTAAATGTACCTGGACATCTTATAGAACAAAGTTAAAAAAAAAAAAAAACTCTCCTCTATTGACAGTGGTAGAAGAAGAGAATGAAACATTGACATAATAAGATGGAAATTTCTCTATTGACAGTGGTAGAGTCAGAATGAAACATTGAGGGAGTAAAATGGAAACTTCCCTATTGACAGTGGTAGAACAAGAGAACAAAATGTTAAGGGAATAAGATAATAATTTCCCTAACCCATGGCAACAGACGATTAAATAGGTTTCTCAATGAAATGCTGTTAGACTCTAGGAGTTGACCATCTGAACATCCAACCACAACGATGATAGCTCATTGGGGAAAACAGCCTGGCGTTGCCAGAGGAGGGAATAGTAACATGTAAGCCAGTTTCCCTTTTCACAATC